CCCCCCGCGGGGTCCCAGCGGCCCCTGGGAAGGGGCGTGTCACGGGCGGGGGGGAGAGCGCGAGGGGGGCGGGGCTGGGAGTCCCCGCAAAGCCCGGGCTGTGGGTGTCCTTGGCGGTGCCGGACGCGCGGGGTGACGCGGGAGCGATCAGGCAGCGCGCGGGGCAGCCCCGGGCCGGGCTGGACCCGCTATAAATAGCCCCGCAGCGAGCGCACGTGTCTCTCTGCGCGCCGGGCCGGGCCATGGGGAGCTCGGACCCCTGGGTTCCCTCCTGGGGGGGGTGCACCTCACTCCCGACCTGCAGCCCCTGTTCTGGGGGGCCGGACCCCGCGTGGGGCGGGACGCTCAGGTGAGGGTCGCGGGGGCCGAGATCTGATCAGAGCCTCCAACGGGAACAAGGGTTCGCGGCCACCTGCTCCCCACGGCTGGGTTCTCTCCCCAGCTCTGGGAGGGGAGCGGGGGCTGGTCGGTCAGAGCAGGGGGTCTGGGAGCCAGGACACCTGGGTTCTCTCCCCGGCTCTGGGAGGGGGGTGGGAGCTGGTGGGTTAGAGTGGGGGGTGGGAGCCAGGACACCTGGGTTCTCTCCCTGGCAGGGGGTAAATGCTCTGTTGGTGATTTGCAGGTGGTGGTGATGTGTGGCGGCTCTGGAGCTGAGGACCTCGGGGCATGTGGGTAAGTCCTGGCCCCTCGCTCCCGGCTGGGCTGGGTCTCCCCTCCCCTGGCTCCTTCCGGGGGCCGTTGCGATGATGAATCCGCTAGACTAGAGTCTCCGACCCCCAGTGACGATATTCGCAGCGCCCTGAGCAACGGTGCCCCTCACTCCCGATCTGCAGCCCCCTGCCAGCCCTGCCCTGCCCCCCCCCAGCTCTGCTGGTGCCCCTCACTCCCGATCTGCAGCCCCCTGCCAGCCTAGCCCTGCCCCCCCCAGCTCTGCCGGTGTCCCTCACTCCCGACCCGCAGCCCCTGCCAGCCCAGCCCTGGGCTGTACGAATCAGTATTTTCATTGACGATTTGGCGAATGAGCAGGAGGGTGATGAACTGAGCCGGGCGGGGGGTTGCCAGCCTTAGGGAGTCCAGGATCTTGAGTGATGGGAGAACGGGTCTGAATTCAACCAGACGAAAGTCAGTAAAGAGACGTGCAAAGTCCGTCCCTTGGGAAGGAGAAATGCCGAACGCGGAGCCGGGCCGGGGGCCATCCTGCCGGAAAGGGTCTGGGGTCAGAGGGGCACAAATAGGGGATGAGTCAACAGTGAGATACAGCAGGTGGAGTTCTGCCTTGGGAAGGGGTGGGGTTGGCCTGGGAGGATAGGGGGTGTCTCTGGAGCTCAGACCAGACTGGAGTCTCTAATGAGAAATCAGGCTGGTCTGACCTGCTCCACACTTTTCGGGGGGTTGGGGGGTGCTGGGGGGTTAGAGCAGGGGGGCGGGGAGCCAGGACTCCTGGGTTCTCTCCCTGGCAGGGGGTAAATGCTCTGTTGGTGATTTGCAGGTGGTGGTGATGTGCAGCGTTGATGCTGAGGACCCCGGGGTGTCTCGGTAAGTCCCTGCCCCTCACTCCCCTCCCCCCGGCATGTCCTGTGGGGCCGTTGCGATGATGAATCCGCTAGACTAGAGTCTCTGACCTCCAGTGACGATATTCGCAGCGCCCTGAGCAACGGCCCTGCCGGTGCCCCTCACTCCCGACCCGCAGCCCTCTCTCAGGACGTTAACCCTCTCTACTCTGTTCCCCCAGGGCTGGATTCTCACCCCATGTCTATCTCTGACATGAGCCCAGTGTGGTGAGACCCCCGGGGTCTCTGGATGGAGAGCCCATGGCCAGAGCAGTGTGGTGGCAGGGTAAGGAGTGGGAAACCAGAGATGGGGGAAAGGGGGGAGGGGGCTCTCCCTGGCAGGCAGTGTTGGCGGCACTGCTAGGGTCCTGTGCTTCTGGGAGTAGAGGGGTTGGGCTGGGGGGCCCTGATCCAGGGAGCAGGGGGTGACGATTTGTTCCTCGACAGGAGCTCCCACCTCAAGGTTGGGATTCACATGAAATAACACAACTTAGACTGACCCTGCTCCCTTGGGGATCGGGGTGGGGAGACTGGTAACATGGGGTGGCCAGAACCCATCTGTCCTGAGCTAATGGGTCCCCCCGCACCCCACGGCCTGGCTGGCAGGATCTGACTCTTGAGGCCTCCAGATTGGATTGGAGTCGCTAATTACAACCCAGCCTGCTCCAGAGACCTGTGGGGTTGGGGGGGGGGGGGAGGGTGGAGGGGGGAGGTTGGGAGCCAGTACTCACCCTGGCTGTGAGAGGGGAGTGGAGTCTAGTGGTTACAGCAGGGGAAGGGGGGCTGGGAGCCAGGACTCCTGGCTTTTTTTCTTCTGCAGTGGGTCATAACTCACCTGTTTGATTTGCAGGCACTGTGACATTAAGACTCAGCTGGGTGGCTCCTGGGGTGTCTGGTAAGTCCTTCTCCTGGGCCACTGCTCCCAGCTGGGTTGGGGTCCCCCGTCCCATTCCCTGGGGGGCTGTTGCAATGATGAATCCGCTAGACTAGAGTCTCTGACCCCCAGTGACGATATTCGCAGCGCCCTGAGCAACGGCCCCCACCAGGCCTTCTCGGGCCCCTGATGTGCAACCCCTGCTAGCCCAGCCCTGGGCTCCTCCCCAGTCCTGCTGGTGCCCCTGGCTCCCGACCCGCATGCCAGTTCCAGAGTCCTTGGCACATCCCAGTCTCCCTCCCCCTCTGCCCCATGTCCTAAAGCCTGGAGTTTGGTCTGACTTCGCTTGGGTTCATGAAGCCTGAATCATGGCTTAGGGGGTCCCGCCCATTGTCCCGGGGGGAACTGAAAAGCCTCGGTATAAAACATGGATTTTAATCAACTTTTCCATTTGTACTTCGGTAGCTTTCTAAGGAAAGGTGCTTGGTGGATTTTGGCTTCAGCTACTCACCAGCGTCCCCCCGGGCTGCGACGGAGACGGAAATCCAGGGGGATGGGACAGGCTGCTGGATGGGGAACTGGAAGGAGAAGTGGTGGGACTGCAGAGCTCAGGCCGGCCTCGAGGACAGGAGCCGGCACCGCCAGCAGCATGGGGGGAGGGGGAGGACTTGGGCCTGGGCTGCCCCATAAAGGGGGGATGTCTCCTCAATAAACAACGGTGGAAACAATGGAGGGTCTGAGTGTCTCTCTTCCCCCCCCCCCCCCCAAGGGCTGATGGGAAGGGGGCTGGGGCTGGTTACTGGGGTCTCCTGGCCTGGTGGTGACATGCGGCTGGCTCTGGGGTGGGGCAGGGCTGGACTTAGAGGGGGCACCTGCCCATGGGCCTGCGCAGCCTCTGACTTGGGAGGGGTCCTGGGGATGGGGAGTGTAATGGGGGAGGGGAGCCAGCTGGGGCAGTAGGTGACCCCTGCCCTTTAACCCCTTATGTCTTGATTGACCTCTGACCCCGTAAGTTCTCGCAGAGGGGCTGTGGGTGCTTAGATTGCCTCGACGCCCTCCACTTCCTGTTCCTCCGGGTCCATTTCCGGTTTGACAAGCTCACTTCCGGTCTAAGGAGGTCGCTTTCAGTACGCGGGCAAAATCCCCAACAATTTCCGGTCCGCCGTGTTGACGTCAGTCCCCGCGGTGGGCGGGTTCCGTGCCCTACTTCCGGTGCGCGCGCGACACGCCCTGGGGTGCGCCTGAGGACTGCGTACGGGGGGAGGGGGAGGGGCGCTCTCAATGCCTTGGCAACGCTAACCGCTGCTCTCCGAGTGCGCATGCGCCGCCGCTGGAGGACCCGTTCCACCTCCCCCCTCCCGTTCGGGAATGGGGCACCAGGGCGGGGCTTGCGCTGCTGCCAGGGGTCCCCGCTCGCGCAGAGATCGCGCGGAGCGGCGTGTCTGGTTCTTCTGACTCATAATCCGAGCAGGCACTAGGCAAGACACCTACACGGACACGAAGGACCTTTCTGGGTCTTCCCACTGCCGCACATGCGTATTGAAGGCAATGGGCGCCATGTTTGCTAAGGGCACGGCGAAGCCGAGTGCGCAGCCATCTTGGAGGTGGGCTGCGGATAGACCTGTTCCCACCCCCCCCCCGACCGCCATCTTTGTTTAGGGCAAAATCTGCCAGCTCTTGGGGGTGAAGCTAAGTTGGGGGCCATTTTGGATGTGGTCACGGGCGCTTTTCTCCCTAATACCTAATGGCGCAACCTCCCCCCTCCGCCATCTTTGTTGTGGGCAAAGAGACTGGCAGCTTGTTATTGCGAGAGGGTTTCTTAAGGACCCAGGGCTGACCCCACTTTTTAGTTATTGTAGGGTCTGCCCTGTCCCAGCGCCTGGGAGAGAA